GTGGTGGTTTGAAATAGGGTGAAGGGCAGTTTGGTAATAGCATTCGTCAGAACCCAACAGTCATTAACTGTGTTAATTTAAGGGTACGTATTCAAAATAAATGAAACCAGAAGTATTAACTTAGGTTTTAGCTAAACCTTGGGTGGAAATATACCGTTTACTTCCATAAGTTTGATGCCTGGAATTGCTTCCAAGCAGTTATTGCGTGGAACCAGATTTCTTTAAACTATCACTCTTCTCAATGTCAGATTTGCTATTGGTTCAATTCTTTCACTTCTTTTCTTCAAATCGTTTTGTGTTTTCTATTTTCTTTATACTTCAAAATTGGGTTTCTTAATATTAAGCATAAATTTTTTTTATGTAATAGTAAAATTATCATAGATTCATAATACTAATTATAATGTTAAAATATTATTAAGCATAAACTTTTTTATATTGTTAACAAAATTCAAAACGATTGATATACTCTTTATTAAATAATGAAATAACATCTATATTAGGGGGTTTTAAAATTCTTTTACTCCAGCATAATATTTTTCCTCTAACAAATGACAATTCTGTCTGTCAACCAATGTTCCGAAAATCGAACCGGACTATGAACGTTCAAGGGTCTATTTTTTGGTTTGACCGGTTTTCGGTTTGACAGGTTGGATCGTATTCTGTAAAAAAAATTTAGTCCCTAAATGTTTGAAATTCATCAAAAACACCCCAATAATACTCCCTTAAGGTTTGAAATCTTTCTAAAACACTCATGTCGTGTGAAGAGACTGGTGAGTGGTGGTTTCAGCGACGATCGACGGCCAATTGAAGTTGGAATCATGGGGCTTTTGATGTATAGGTTCCGACGAATCTGATGGTGGTGTTAAGGAGTTCCATCGGCGTCGGAAATTGTCGGAATCAAGAATGAAGTCCGACGGTCGTGTGAACTTTAGGTAGACGGCGAGCGATGAAGGCTGGACAACGGCCACTGAAAATGGATGGGTTTTGTCGTGGAGATGTCGTCAAGTCGAATGGTGGTGTTTTCTCTATCAAACGATGTCGGAATCCGACGGGATTGAGTTGCGATTGGATCGCGACTCGACACTATTCCGATAGTCCAACCGCGGCTCAATCCAATTTAACTGAAAATGTCAGTTTTTAGAAGATACCGGACCGGAGTACCTCCGGCTCTCAGTCGAACCGGTCCGATCGAATGGTCCGGTCTGGTTTTCAGAACATTGCTATCAACTACTGCCTGAAAAAAAAAAATGAGAAACCACTAAAATCAGTGGTGGTGTTTGACTAATTGATGAAAAGACAAGGGCAGTTTTATAATATCCCACGCTTAGCACATGAATGTCCTTTTTAAAAATATAGGGTGTTTTTTGAAATTAGCCCAAAGTATATTTAATCGGATCTTGAAGATTTTGATGAAGGGCCGGCAGCCATAACGTTTCTAAAATCCGAAAATCTGTAATCTTATCCAAAGCCTGAGGACTGAAGTGAGTACGACCCTTCTTTATTTGCAGCATATCCTTATATTTATTTCCTTGTCACCAAAATCTTATCACCAATTATCTCCCTCTCAACTCTCCTCACATTTCCATTTCCATTTCATTCCCATTCTCATTCTAATTCAAATCAATCATATGCCTTTCCTACCTCTTTGAAACAAGCTTTCAAAATTTCATTATGGCAGCTATTATTTCCTGTAACTTAATCACTCCGAAATTACCCAACAACCGTGTTCGTTTTGCAACAACTCACACCACTGCCACCAACAATAATGATCGGTTGACTCAGCGTTTTACTCCGACTACTTGTTCTTTTAATCGTAACCCATGTCAGGTAAGTACATTTTCCATGATTTATTAGATGGGTCTTGTTTAGTTTTATGTAAGGACTATAACTAAGTTGCATTTTTTAAGCAGAAATTGAAGGAGTGCGCTATTTCTTTAGCTTTAGCTGTCGGATTGATTACAGGAGCACCTTCATTTGCTGATGCAAATGTAAATGTAAATGTAAATGCAAATAACTTGGCGTTGCCTGATTTGTCTGTGTTAATCTCTGGTCCGCCAATTAAGGATCCGGGTGCATTGTTGAGATACGCTTTGCCTATTAACAATAAAGCTGTGAGGGAAGTACAAAAACCACTTGAAGATATTACAGACAGTCTTAAGGTTGCTGGGGTTAAAGCTCTTGATTCTGTTGAGAGAGTAAGCATTTCAACTTTTATTTTTATAGTTGGGATAATTAATTGTGGCTTAAAAAAAAAGCTTATTTTTGTGTGTGAAATGTGTAGAATGTGAGGCAGGCATCACGAGCACTTAAACAAGGTAAGAGTTTGATTGTAACGGGTTTAGCTGAATCGAAGAAGGAGCATGGGCTTGAACTACTTGACAAATTGGAAGTTGGAATGGATGAGTTACAACAGATTGTGGAGGATAGGAATAGAGATGCTGTTGCACCTAAACAGAAGGAGCTGCTTAATTATGTTGGCGGGTGAGTATCACTCTATTGCATCAATAACATAGAGGCTTGAAAAAAACATTAGAAAAATTGTTGCTGAAAACTCATATTTTGTTCTAAATTGCTCATATTTAGGTTAAGCTAAATATCTATGGTGATAATATAAATCAGATTTTATCCCCAGGGTTTTCTTCCTTCTTTGAAAGGGCATTAACTTGTGCACTTCAGTCAAATATGAGGTTCTGTGACTAAGATGGGGAATTTATCTAGAATTCTCTTTCTTTATTAGTTGACTCACAAGTTATGAACTAGGATCATTATGTTTTCTTCAATCCAATCACCAGTCTCCTTCGGTACCAAGCAGTCGTTAGTACAGTAAAAAATATTGTGCTGACATTGTTCATGTTGTAGAGGTCCGTCCCATGAAACTAGATTACTAATGAAAATTGACAATGTCTTCCTTCCATAAGAACTGTATCCTATTTTGAACAAAAAAGTTGGGAGGACTAATAGAAGTGAATCCTCTTAGAATAAACTCTCATATATACCTTGTCATTGACTGCAGCTGAGATCTTCCTGGGGCATTGGGTTTCTGCAGTGTTGAAGAGGATATGGTGGATGGCTTCCCATACGAAGTGCCCGAAGAATACCAAAGTATGCCTCTATTAAAGGGGAGAGCTGCTGTTGATATGAAGGTCAAGGTCAAGGACAATCCTAATTTAGATGAGTGTGTATTCCGGATAGTTCTAGATGGTTACAATGCGCCGGTAACTGCTGGAAATTTTGTGGACTTAGTAGAAAGGAACTTCTATGATGGCATGGAAATCCAAAGAGGTAAAGGGTTTATATTAAGTTAGTTTGATTCTGCTGTTGAAGTGTTGATATTTATTTTCTATGCTAATAAAAAAGCATGTTAAATTTTTCTGTTGCCTTCAGAAGAGAAAATGTTTTTAACATGAATTGCCATAAACATCCCATCATGTAATGTTTTTAATCAGAGAAATTTGGTATCAAGATTGATGAATAACCTGGTTGCTAAACTTGTACTTAGATGCCATGCATGTAATTGGATTCATCTGAATGATTGTCTTGCCCATCGTAGCTCGCCTTTTATTTAACAACTTCTCTCACTGTAGACTTGACCAATTTTCTAATTGCTGTGAGCTATGAATTGTCTGAAGATGCAAATTTTAATTTTCATTTATGTGGCCACAACACTAATAAATGCCTTTTTTGTATTGGCTGCAGCGGATGGGTTTGTTGTTCAAACTGGAGATCCAGAAGGCCCTGCTGAGGGTTTCATTGATCCTAGTACAGAAAAAACCCGGACAATACCATTAGAAATCATGGTGGATGGGGAGAAATCACCCTTTTATGGAGAAACCTTGGAAGTAAGCCTCTCAATTCTTTCTGCATTAATATATTATGCCAAAGCCTTATACTCTGTTATAATTCAGAAGTGTTGACTGTGGAATGCTAGCTGTCTTTCTGAGAGGATATGTTAAGGCATTGAAAAGTTTCACCATCTACCAGTCTTCATAACACCTTTTTTGTCTTCTACAATTAGAAGTTTTCCTAATTCCCTTGAGAATTTATTTTTGCTTTGCCTTTCTGAAATTCAATATGACTTGTGTCTGGACAGGAGCTTGGTCTCTACAAGGCTCAAACTAAGCTTCCATTCAATGCATTTGGAACAATGGCCATGGCCAGAGAGGTGAGAATTTGAATTTTAATACTTTTTTTCCATACGTATCCAAGTATTAGTTTGAAAGCTAATTAGAAATCGCCTGAATTTAATACTTTTCAGGAGTTTGAGAATAATTCTGCCTCAAGCCAGGTGTTCTGGCTACTGAAAGAAAGTGAATTAACTCCCAGTAATGCCAATATTTTGGATGGCCGGTATGCAGTGTTTGGTTATGTGACAGAAAACGAGGACTTTTTGGCTGATCTTAAGGTTGGTGATGTTATAGAGTCGATTCAAGTAGTTTCTGGCCTGGAAAATCTAGTCAATCCAAGCTACAAGATTGCTGGCTAGACCGTTTTGTCACCGGTATTGGATAATATTAGTCACTTTCTACTAAGGTTCATCATTGAAGACTGTTTCTTTATTTGTTTCAAACTTTAGTTTATTGTTTGCTCAATAATATTCTGTAATCTTTCACTTGTGAGAGAATTGTAGCATTCACATCGACAATGTATTCTTTTGAACTTTAAATGGTGACAATTTCATCATTTCTTTTATAAGCACTCTCTTGGCTCACTTCCAACTAATGAATGCTATTTTTAACAAAACATTGGAAATGGAATTTTGTTTCACTGCATAGAAATTGCTGATCATTTTAATTGTTAGATAAATTTTAAACAGAATATTGATCCCCATTCTAAACGTCAAACGACCAAATATCATCACCCAAGAAATTGCTTATCATATTCAGAAGGGCATTTTACTAACCACAAATAAGATAGATGAAGCTCATGATCATATTAATTGGTTATCAAATCTCAGAGAGTGTGTCCGGCCAATCCATGCTGTAATTGTTTTCTTAAACAAAGGGCAAGAAGAAAGAAAGAGAAGCTTTACAGAATGCATTATCCAGAACAAACAACTATCAGGGATTTCCTCCTAGTCTATAGCCTCCAAAGTTTTGTATACCATCAGCTCTTAGGTGCCATTCCTTTGATTGAATTAAATACAGCTTGGATTTCGAAACTTGCAGTCCATATCTCAAACATATCATCTTTGCTCAAATTTAAAGGGCAACTAGTTCAAGGTCCTCTATATCTGCGAAAACAGAAACAACCCTGAGGATGATCTACAGGAATCATGCCTCCACCCTTTGATGTGTCAATGGCCTCCAACATGGACACAACCTCATCCATCTCTGGTCGTTTGTCAGGGTTAGCGTCCCAGCACCGCTTCATTACATTCGCAAGGGAGCTTGGGCAGCAACGAGGTATCTCTGGCCTCAAATTCTGTTGTCCAATTATGAGTTAGAATTCTCTTTAGCTTTCGATATTATGAATGGCTTTACAATCATTATAAATAGCGTAAAACATCATTTACATTGCAAACAAAAGACATGAAATGAATCATTTACCTGGCGAACAACGGCTGATGTCACTTCTGAGAAGCTAAGGTCAGGATATGGCATGTCACAGCAGTATATCTCCCATAAGCAAATACCAAAACTGTACACATCACACTTTCTATTGTATGGGTTGCCATTCAAAACCTGTACCACTCCATAAAGCCATTGGCAATTAGGTTAGGAACAATGCTAAAGGAGCAGAAAAAGCATATACAGTCTAATTTAATACCTAAGAAAATACAAGACATTGCTGATAATCAATCATTATTACAGCTTATGCAAAAATTTAAACCCCACATTCCCCTGCCTCCAAAACCTCCCAAAAGAGGGAAAAACAACTGTGGAGCTGTTTTCTTCTTTTTTGGTTTCTCACAAAAGATACTTAAAATTAAAAAATATAGGTTCACCCCAAGAATCCACTTGTTTCATAGGTAGCTGATTCAGTCTTGTTAGAACGCAAATAATATAGTCCAATAACACAAACCCAAATAAGAAGAGTTGACTATATTATTTGGCTGTATTTAAAATCAAGGAAGAAACATATTAATAGCCTTTGCTTATATATCAAATAACTTTAATTATAAAAGTGCACTTTGTGATTCAATTTCTTAGGAGAATTTTTGCTCTCAATCAACATAGATCAAGAAATAAATTGGAAAAGGTTCCTACATAGCTAAGTTGCATAAGCGGCTTCTTTTTGTCTTGTTCAAATTGACATGTAAAGCATACCCCCACAGAAGGAATCATAAATATGCATGAGATTGAAGAGAGATTTCACTGCAAAGTTCATTAGTGATACTTAGTTATATACCTCTGGTGCCATGTATCCAAGGGTTCCAGTCTCTCCAGTCATGTCATGAGGATTTGAAGCTTCAAGGCGAGCAACCCCAAAGTCAGCAATCTTCACAGTACGTGTCTTATCTAGAAGCATGTTCTCTGTTTTAACATCTCTGTGGACAATTTTCTCAGAATGAAGATAGCTCAACCTACAAAATGAAGAAAGCCAGCTTAAATTACAGTTTGCTCAGGAACTTCAGTTTATCCAATTTACATAATTGACCGACACGTGCAAAGCTTCAGCACATTCATATGGAATATATTGTAAAAATAAGGCATGAAGATTTTACCCTCGAGCAAGATCCAGGGCAAGCTGAATAACAACTTTGAAAGCCAGCTTCCTTCTGCGGTTCTTTATGAGGTAAGATTTCAGAGCACCCCCTGGGCAGTATTCAACGACAACACAACAAACATTGCTTGGCATACCAATATGACCATTTTCTGTTTGTATATTTAGCTCTGATGTGCCCATTGTTGCCCCTATAAACTGCAACAAGGATTTTGGCTTATAGAATTTTAGATTAGTTTCACACAAGTACCTAAAAATCTGGAGCAAATAGACTTCACTCCCACTCAAGAAATTTAGGGTGCCAAACAATTTCAAGCAGTGACAACTGACACACATGTTACAGCCCATGTTATTTTTTTATTTTTATTCTATTTTATTTTATTTTTTGATGACTGAGGATGTCTGAGCCACCTTATGCGCACCTCAACTAATTCTCCGGGACTTTAGAACTACCGGTCGGATAAGAGCTCTAGTGACCACCCCTATTAGTAACCAAGGAGGGACTCGAACTCAAAACCTCTTGAATAATACATCCAAAAGTCTCTATCGAACCACTAGGCCACCCAGGGTTGGTTACAACCCATGTTAATTCATTACAGCATCAAACATCGAATATTAATAATGCTGGACTCAGGAAATATTGTCAAAGTTGTAGACTCATATATCTAGACAAGAAAAGATAGAGTATTGAAGACATAACCTTGAAAGAAATGACTTGGGAAATACACAAGAACGATCATTTTGATGGAAATGTTAAATAACCATTTTATCCAACATTCAATATTTAGCCTTTCTTAATAGAATTCACTCAAGTCATTGGAGACATCACATAAAGGATTATATTTTTTCAGTTTAGCATATTACCTTTGCTCCTTTAGTTCCATTATTGAGTATATGAGAGAGGAAAACGAAAAGGAAAAGGAAAAGAAAGAGTCAAAGCAGAAAATTTTACCTTGGTTACATTAGGATGATCAAGCTTGTGCCAAACAGCAACTTCTTGCGTAAAAGCTGCCCTAAGTGAAGCTATTTCAGCCTCAGTTCTGTGGCCCTCTTCCCCCCAGTCAAGAAGTTTAACTGAGCTTGAGAAGGAAGTGAAAGTTAATGGTTTTCGGAAAATGAAAAGTTCTAGGATTCACTTTGAAATTAGAACAACATAAGTTGCATTCAGAAGAAAAAGATTCATCGTTTGATAGTTAAAGCAACAGCACATCATAAAACAAAATTTAATGAATCAGATGAAACCTAAGACCCAAAAGAAAAAAAAATACAGAATAGATCAAAACTTATTCACAGCTTTTAATTAGAAATTAGTTCAACCATTAGATTCATTTAGCCGTCACAAAGTAACTGGGATTGAGTGATGATACAAGCATCCATTTGGCAGCTTTCTAGCCAGCCAGAACTGCAAGTCACAATATTAATTTTGGTGCTTTTAATTCTTTGGCTTTTTATCCCCAAAAGGTGAAGTTATAAAATGTGAACCAACAAGAAGTGAGGACACATGAAAGTTAAAGAAAAAGAATATAACAACACTGAATTTACTGCAGCTAACTGCCAACTCAACCAGTCTCGTGAATCACGGATTTTGAAAGAATAGATCTGTAAGGGGGGGTCCTTCACAAGAAATAATTTGCTAGAAAAAGCACACTGAAAATCTGGAGAACGTGAAAGAAACTAAAAATAATGGAAATACACGGTAAGAGATTGGCATATAAATGGGAACGAAACTGGTATTGTCTAAGGCCACGAACGATTAAAATCCAGGATTAGAAATGGGAGGAATAACAACTCAAAATGAATATTGAGACAGAAATTGAAGGAACAGGTCCTTAATCCACAAAGGCTTCAAAACTAAAACTATAACCCCATCAAATTACAGCCAAAAACAAATAAAAGAATCAGAATAATACACAAAAATTCAAAATGAAGAGCATTTGGTCTGCATCTGTTGAAGGACTTCTATTGCTTGACGAGCTATAGTAACAGTAGTTCTTGTTAATACCAAAACATTATCCAAAGAACAAACACAGAACCTTCAACCCAGTCATCCACTTCAAAATTCAACCTTTTTTTGTTTTTATTCAAAAGGGTCAAACAAAAAGCATTTAATTGTATGCCAAAAGCAAAAATCCCATATAATAAATTTTCCTAAACATGGAAAGACCCTAAATATGTGTCCATGGCAACAACAGCCAACGACAATATATCCACATGATAACTATTGAACTATAGGTGGTTTTTCTTAGACAAATAGGCATTCACATGAAAAAAGATGAAAATAAAAATAACAATAATAAATAAATAAAAAAAGAACAAGAAATCAATACCAGCAACATCTTGGCCATCATAAACGCCACGGTGAACAGTGCCAAAAGTTCCCCGAGCTATAGCACCTTTAATAATAAGTTTAGAGGGATCAATCTCCCATTCTTGCCTAGCTACAGTACTACTGTGGTTGTTGTTGTTGGTGAAGGGTCTTTGTAATTGCGGTTGTTGATGAGGATGATGAAGTTGTAGTTGTAAAGGATGATGGGGATGAACACCTTCACTTTCTTCATGTTCTTTCTTGTTCTTGTTCTTCTCCATGGTCCATGCTCTACTTAGATGCCTCTGAAGTTGCTCATCCAAGCTCTTCAGATCTATCTGATCCGCTCTCACATACCCACCGCCGCCACTTTCACTCTTCTCCTTCATTGCTTCTTCAACAATCAACAGCCTCCCCTGAAAGCGTCAAACCCACAAACAGAAAACACAAAACAAAATCATAACACAACACAGCACAAGTGTAACTAAACTAACTAGAGAAGTTTTGGTTTGTTAATATTATTATGATGAGTGGTAAAGAGTAGCAGTAGAGAAACAAAAGAGTAGAAATACTAATGTGTTTGTTTGTTAGTATAAGGCATGTGGGCACATGGATTTTGCCTGAAGACGACGTGTGTTTTCTGACCCACCTCGATCTCTTCTCATAATCTCATCTCCCTCTTCTTTAAACTCATTTCATCATCAAAAAAGAAAAAACAACACAAACTCTCTCTCGTGCTTTGTTGTTTATTGTTATTTTATGGTATTCACGGTCAATGAACCTTTTTTATTATACACTTTTTCTGTAATCTTTCTCTTTCAACACTGCAGTTGACACTGGAAACTGGAGACAGTTACATGGGAGTTGTAAATTTCTTTATTTTAAAACTTCTTTAAATAACAATCTCTATCTTAACAGTTGAAACACTTTAATGCTTCTACTGAGTATTGATATTCCATTAATTCTTTAATTATTATTTACTATTTTTTAACCATAATATACTCATATCCCATCTCCATATTATCCGGGACATCGAAATTATCTATTTAATGTAATCAATCTCCAAGTTCTATTGGACTATGGTATTACTATTATCTTAAAATAATATCTCAAATTTTAAGTTTTATTTTGATCTTTAATACACTTTTTTCGAAAGAATAATTATGCATGAATAACATAACCATATCTGGAAGGCAATGTGATATGTATATAACATAAGTTGTTTACATACCAAAAATAATAATTGAAGGTGCTGATGATTTCATGGCATCAATATTATTTTATTACAGTTCAGGAATCTCACATTTGTGATCAGAATTTTCTGAATAAATAATAATTGATGGATTTAAGCAAGGAAAGCATAGTGAGATTCCGAAGGATTTGACTTCTTTATAGGCTTTTGCCATAAGTAGGAAGTCCTTTCCAGTACTTTCTTTCATTTCATGTTTCATAAATCTGCAACACTTGAATAGTTTTCTCTCACATTATCACTCACCATACCCTTCACAATCCAGTGTCTCGTACACCATAAAATTTTATACATTTGACTGGTCGGTCTAGCTACATTGCAAAATGGGGCTATTTTTTTTTTTTTTTTGTAATGGGATGTTCGAATCAGATTACGCGCACCTCAATTAATCTTTACAATCTATTAAATATCCCACAAGTCAAAGAACCAAGTAAGTCACAATGTATTTATGGTATGTAACTCATAATTTAAATCTAAGAACTAAAGGAATTGAACAAACCTCTTTAACCGTCAGTTCAAATTAGGTTGTTTTGTAACATAAATATAATATTAATAAAATTAAATTAATTTTATAACAAAAGTTAAGAATGTTTGAGCAAAAAGCAAAATGGAAAGCAATTCTATAATTAATAAAGGAAAAAAGAAAATGGGTGATTTGGGGGAGGTTGTACTTAAGGCTGCTTCAAACTAGGCAATATTTTCTGGAACAACTTTGCACTTCATTCAAATCAACAAATATATTATTGATTGGTGCAAAAGTAGCAAAGGAAGCTAGGGTTGCTTGCAGGAGTTAAAAAAAAAAAATGAAGAATTAATTGTGGGTTTGATGCATTGTTGCGCATCGATTTTTTGTTTTTTTTAACTGAAATAAAGTGAGGAAATTCTGCATCTTCTTTATTCAAATCATTTAAGAAACATAGTTGGGGGACAACTTAATGCTCTCCAATCATTTCTGTAAGAAGGAATCTTCTACACCATATATATGATATGAAAAATTAGTTCTAGAGTGCATGGCGGATCTAGGAATTTCCGCAATGGGGGCAAAATATAAACCAAAAAAAAAAAAAAATAACCAATATAACTACACTTTTTTTTTTTTATTACAATGAGCTTCAATGGAAGTTATAAAATACAAATAAATATCTTCAAAAAACACAATTTTTGTAAAAATAAAACATTTTTCTACAATTGTTTGACTAGTTTTCCTATTCTGAAAACATTGGATAATGATCATCTCATTGTCAATTGTATCAAATACATCTTTCTCAATATAGATGACCAAACAATCATTCATCCATTGATCTCTATTCGATTGCATAACCGATTTTTCACAAGATTCTTATAGAAAAAACTCTTTCAAAGTCGCAGTCGCAACTGATAAAACCAATGCAACTTTCACAAGCTATACACCACGCATGCAAAATTGCTTTTAAACCGAACTAAATTCTTAACCAAATCACAAATTCCTTATAACTCAGCAAATTTATCACAAGAACGTATGTTAATAACATAAATCTCAATCTGGTTCTCAAGTACCATCAACTCAAGTGCAGAAAAATCTAATGGATAAAACTGATCAAACCCATTCTTCCCTCTTTTTTTTCATTTTCCTTTGCTTCTTCTTCCTTTCTTCTTTACGAGTTTTTCTCTCTTTTTCTTTATTTTTGGCGAACAACCCAGTTTATATATAAAACAACTTCTTTGAATTATAAAACTACCCAAGATTCTCTTATTCTCATCATGACCTCACCACATTAGCTTTGTGATGTAAAAATGCTCAGATTTCTTCCCTCAGTTAAATGCAAATCCAACAGTTCTTATTCCTTTCATTTTCACTCCTAATAAAACTTTTAAAAACTAACCGATCCTCTTGCATAAAAATAAAAATCACAAAAAATATGAAATATATATACTAGGATTAAAAAAAAGGTTTTACAAAAATAAAATCCAAACTAACCGTGGGGGCTGTTTCCAAAATCTCATAATTCTATAAGGGTAAAATTTAAATAAATAAAAGATGTGGACTGTTTTCAAAAATTGAGTGGGGACTCAAGTCCCCACAAGTCATTAATTGGATCCGCCACTGCTAGAGTGTATAATTATAAAGATGCAAAATATATATTTTTTTAATGGTTTTATAAATTCTTCATTTTCATTATAGGGTAACACAGAGGCATTGGTGGGATTTTTAAGAAAGAAGAAATACTTTTTTCATGAAAAAGGTGATGGGGTAATTATTGATCAATATAATATACCAATATGTTTCTACTTTCTTGATATCATAAGTATGATATAAGAAAAAATTTATTAACAATAATAATTTCTTATAAAAAAATCATAAATATCATCTCAAATTAGTATACAGCTTAAAAAAATTTAAAAAAATTATCATAAACATTGATACTATTTTTGGCATCAAGCTAGTGAGACCCAAACTATATAAGAAGTGATTAAATTTATCCCAAAATTAACTACTATAGTTTGACGTCATTGTTATCCCATAAAACGTAGCTGGTTTAATTCTTTGATATGCTCGTAAAAATAAATTTAAAAAATTAAAATTAAAAGACAAGGAGTGCTCTTTTGGGTGAGTAAGTTCGGGGCTCAATTCATTGACAGGCTTACGTTACGATTAGCAGAAAAGGAGTGCATTTTGTATACTTTGTCTCCTTTTTTAGGCATTGTCATTTCATCAACAATCATAGTGTCTTCTTTTTAATAAATTTTTCACTGTACGTTAAAAAATTTAGAATTTCAGTCAAACCTTAAATGTTTCATAAAAATATACCTTGTTGGCAAGGAAAGCTTCTCACAATTTTTATGAAACTTTAAAGAGATTTTGTAATGAATTTTACAGAACCATTCTTACTTTTTGATATTTTTTAACCAAAAAAGTTATAAATTAAAATTTAAAAAATGGATGTTCTACAAGGGTGGGCATACCGACAATGGTAAAAGAACCTTATCGTTTTAGTGTTGTGTTGTGTTTCCCTTTCCCATGAAATAACACTATTATTGCTGCTGCTCTGCTCTACATCACCATGCACGTGAAAGCTTACCTTTTTGACTTCATTCCACATCAAAAGAAGCTCACTTCACGAGGACACAACTTTTTCTCTTCATCCAAACACAAACACAATCACTAGAGATAAAAATAAAATTTAACTTAACTCCCGTGATTTTGACTCTCAAAGTCAAGCCCCTTATCCTCCTTCACAACAGCTTAAACAATTCTCGACATTACACCTTCAGTATTGAGTAATACTAGCTACAAAACTTGATGTTCGCCTCAAATATTTAATAAATCGATTCGATAGATGACAAAAGGACATCAAATATACAAATAATTGATTTTACGTGGTGGAAGTGAATCCGCCGTGATTTCACCTCGATGGAAGGCTGAAACTCTGTGTCCAAAATAGCTTCATAAACAATATGCTTCTATGTCTTGTATGATATGTGAACTGTATTCATTTGCTGACTGGGAAAATAAGTTCTACATTCTTTGAAGAAAGCGGATGGTCACTTCATACGCGCCTTTTCTTCTTCTCTGGTGTTGAATGTACTTGTGCTTTAAGCCCATATGTTTTTAATTGAAAGTTTTCAAAAGCTTCCGAGATTGCTCCAACCTGTTTATTGTACAGAAAAGTTGCTGTCAGTAACTTGGTGAGAAGACAAAAGGGTACGAAAACAATGTGATTAAGCTACTGAAAATATACAGACCAGCTCAGGTTTTTTGGAGTAAACCCTAACTATCATATCCTGATAGCATGTGGGTAACAAATGACTAATGCGATCATCAGGTATGGTGAATTTATCCTCGCTCTCATAATCCTGAAAAGACATTAAGCTTGTTAAAAGGCTGCACCTAACCAATGGAACTGGACCCCTGCAATACTACATTTACAACCTAATATCATAAACTCTCTTTTACAACCCTTAGGTGGCAGTTCCCAGTTTTTTGCTGATGAATTTCCTAAAATTCAAAATTCATCAATAAAAAACTAAGAGTTGTCACGTATGGATTGTGAGAAAAAGTTTGTGAAATTGGATTATGAGTCAATCTTTATTATATGAATATTATCAAGATCCCCAAGAAGATATTTGGAATTTCGAGGTCAATAGTAACTTATAAGGCAAGCTCTAGATCCCTTTTTTATTCTTAGTTAATTTGTGGATTGCCGTCACTAATTAAAAGAAAATGACAGGAAAAACGAAAAAGAGAGTTTGCTCATATTTAGTCATTTCCAAATCTTATTCTGTGGGCATAGAAAATTATCAACAGATTGTGGTCACTTTATTCAGTGGGCTATTGCACATGCCCATCCACTATTATTATCGGTATTTACAGTCATCCTCATTATGGAGGGACTGAAAAAAGAAAAAGAAAAGACCTAATGATTGCAGTACTTTTTGAAACAGGGTACATAATTGATAATACATTGAGGATAAAGAAATTATTTGAAAAAGATGGTAATGATAATAAATAAAAAACTGTAAAAATGTATGTTTAACAAAAATATCAAATGGATTTTCAGTACCTTGAAAAAGTTGATTCTGGAAACGAGCATGCACCATAAAAAATCAATATCAAAAGTTAGTCATTGCACCCAAAAGTACAGGATGAAAGCAAATGAACTATCTAAAATCAGCAAAAATGTGTCATACTTCAAATACCTTTCTAGAGGATTACTCCTTCCACGAGTCAAATCAATCCTGACATTGCTAACAGCAACATCCTCTTCTTTTAGTATCACTCCACCATTTTTCTGCGAAATAAAATTTTGAAATAATAAATGTAAGAAACTCTGCTTGGCTTGATCTGCAAAGAACAAATACGTAAGTAAACGTCAATATGCAAACAAGATATATACCTGGGAACAAACAATATCTTGCGCGGTGACATCTTTGAAATGTTCTAGTTTGTCCTTCGGAACAGCATACTCATTACAAAACTGGAACAGCAGAGACAATTTAATATCTTAAGCTTCAACATATAATTTCAAAATAACAGGTCCACTAAACATTGAGCACATTATCAAAGCACAGGAACCTATCTACATGTTAGAAATTCGTTCCATGTGATATTACTAAAGAGAAAAACAAAATAATAAGCAAAGCTTCAATACCTGGTACAAGTTCCTTCTGCGGATGCGTAAAATCAAATCCTTTGATTCCTTGAGTTCTTGGTCTGGAGCAATCTCAATTGATTTGATTATTGTGTCATCCAACTGAATTGTCAAGAACCGATATTAATATAGAATTTCATACGTTCAGGAACTAAAATCTGTAAATAAAAAATATAGTTCAGCTCTGTAAACCTTCCAGTAATCACAAGGATCTTCAACGGCAGATGAAATTTCTAGAAAGCTATTTGCTTTCAACAGGGCATCTACTATCATAAGCTCAATTGCCTGCAATAAAATAGTATCACATTAAGGAAAGTTATATACTACTTACTTTAAAGGCCACTGATAAAAAAATTATTAAAAAAATAAATAAATAAATAAAAGAGAGTAAAAAATAGATAAAAATAATAAATGAACAACATAACAAGCAGATGTAGAATTTTTCTGAAATAGAAAAACAATTATGTTTCATACCTTAACTTTTGGATGTGTATATACAGTTCTATACAGATCAGCACGAGTGTAAAATAACTTGTGGACGGTCAGATCTAGAAAGATTACCCAATATTTTAGTGGGAAATAACAAAATCCTACATAGCTATGACAATAAAATTAAACAGAAGATACTGACAGTCCTTAGCACGATAGCAAATCTCATCATCCAAAACCCGCATAGTCTCCATTAACCTGCAAGAGATGAAAATTGTACCGTGCTGACAATAAGTTCCTCATTTTATTTCAGAGGGACAGAGGTAGTTACTACACTAGTTATAAGAGTAACCTGAAGGCACCAATAACAAATAAAATTAACCACAATTTAATATTAACCTCTGAAACTCAAAGTTGCACCCCACACCACAAGCTCTGCAGTCTCGGACGATGTAATCAAACCTAAATATCAAAATTATAGCCAAAGCATCAAAAATTTGAAACAAAACAGGCACTTGCTGAAACTTCAGATATAATGTGAGATGAATAAATTACTAAATCTCACTTGTCCACATCAATGCCATTTCGACCATTTGCAACAATATCATACAAGAAAAGCTTCTCCCTTGTGCCCTACAAATTACGGGCTAAATATGATTGGCAAGCAGCACAACAACAACAAAATAACATGATAACTTCATATTAGATTAAACTAAGTGTATAACTGTGACAAATTTTCCATCAAAAACAGTATAGGAAGTAAATGGAAAATCTAAACAGATCTTACTTTTGGAAGTGCAAACTCTGAGCTAGCTACAATCATCTCCTGCCACAATAAATAAACAAATGAACAAAAATTAATCTGCGAATTACTCATTATGTAAAAAGGCTAGAGCCCACTTCAACAGTACTAAAACACTGACAGGGTTAAAGTCTGATGGAGGACACATAAAGAGAGAGAGAAGTTAGTTTGTCAGAAAATTTGTGTTCATGGCATTGCTTAAACTTCAGTTTTACGATTCAATCTTTTCTTATACCACAGAAGAGAATGAACAGCCTTCTGATTCACTTGCTAAGAGCACAACTTGCAAAGACTTTATTTCCAAAGACATAAAGTCAATATAGATTTATTCTCGTAATGCCTCAAATTGACATATATCCCTTTAAAGTTTTTTTTTTTTTTTTTTTTTTTTTTTTTTTAAAAAAAAAGTAGAAACAGAGGATTCCTAGTAAGATGACTTTACCTTAACTTTTTTAATCATTCCAGAGTCAACATCAATATGGTGCTCATCTACGATATAATCAACCATCTTCAACGACATTTGCTCATGAGACCTAAAAAGTACAAGAATCACATAAAAACAAAGAGAGTTCTGTCTAAGAAGCACTTGGGTAGGAGAGGCAGAGATAGAGAAACACACACAAATCTATTCATATGATACTGACAGAAACATATATGAGATCACTTGGTGCTTAAATACAAACAAAAAACACGGTTTCTTGATAACAACTAGTACTTTCAATCAAAAGCATAAATAATTAATGAAATTCTGATGTTGTTATTAGCCGCAGAAAAGGAATAATAAACATATCCTGTAAAATAATGTATACTATACCATTTTGAGCCACTATGAACACAGGGAAGAAACTCGCGTTCGAACAAGTGACTAAAAGGCCCATGGCCCACATCATGTAAAAGTCCTACAGATTTAAACAACAATTAATGTAAGGAACCAGTCGCCTGTGAAGAGATACTCATGGGAAACACAATTGAGTACCAGCAAGCTTCACTGTCTGAATGTCGAAGGCATCAATACCAAGCTCCAAACCCTACAACAGTTGGACCACTCACGTAAAAGGTCTTAAGATGGTTTACATAACGGAATTACAAATAATCAGAAAACATAAAGAACAATTACACACTTGGTACTTCTTGAACTGCTGAACAGATTCACCAGCAAGACAGTACACACCAAGAGAATGTTCAAACCTGGAATGCATAGCTCCTGGATAAACCATGTGTGTCATACCTAGCAAAGGAAAAAATATCTTCTTAACAAATACTATTCCTGAAGAGGAAATTCAGTGAATAACTTGCCACTGTATTGAACCCAACATGGCTAAATAAGAAAACCTTGATTCAAGAATAGAGTCTTTCTACTATAACAAGCGAAAATTAAAAAAAAAATATGCAATGTTTAAATGTTGATTGTATAAGTATCCAACAATAGGACTAAAATTACCATCCAAACATTGAGTTAAAATTCTCACAACTGAGATTTTTTGAAGGGGCAAAACTAAGTGACAAAATTTTAACCCAAACGAGGTTTTGTGATATCAAGCAAAACTGCAAAGAAGGTCCAATATACAAGCCCTATTTTTAATAAAAAGATTCCAAAAATAATTATGAGTTACTTATACATATATTCCCACAAACATTTGCATAAAACTCAACAATACATGAGAAATCCCAGTCACGTAATTATTAGAAAATCCGCTATAAAAAGAAAACGGCAGAAAAACTCACCGAGCTGCTTCAGGTCACGGAGCCTGTAATGAGAAAAATAATTTAAAGCTATTAGCAACATAACATTAAATAAATAAGCAAACAAAAAAGAACAATCAACTTTCCTTTGGAACTGCTCTGTATCAATAAACTTCAAAGCCAGCTGCAACAATAAAAACAACCAATAACTACAAAATAAAATACACTATCCTTTAATTAGATTTTCTACAGAACCAAAAGAAAAAAAAAATCACCGGGTCGAGATAAATGTTGCCGTGGACATTGTCGTGCACGTGCTTGGAGAATCTGAGATCTTGACAGGAAGCAAAATTGGTGCGACGCGGGGAGAGAGAGAGGTCTTCGTGGCAGATGGCGCCCATTTCTTGTGGATTTTGGAGTGAAGAGAATGGAGAATTTAGAGTTCGAATCGTTGCGCCAGAATTTATTCCCCACGTTTACTGGAATACTGTAAAGCATTAACTATTAAGCTACTCAATTATAAGTGGCGTCAAAATTCCTTAAATTAAGCAGGACGAATCCATCTGTTCCCTGTGGTATCGGAATTATCCGACCACCTCCCTCCCCATTAGTTTTTCCGTCAAACTTAACTTTTGACCCATTTTGACTCATCTAATGATCAAATCACCCTTAAAAATTAAAGAGTAAACGACATATTCCCACCCAAGGTTTGACAAAATCCTAAGTTAGTGCCACTGGTTTTATTTATTCCAGATTTTCACCCTTAAGTAACAGTGTTATGAATTTTTAGGGTTTAGAGGGTACAATTACCATAATGCCCTTAAACTTAAATTAATAAATTATGTTTTAACCCCTAAATTAGTAAAATTACAATACTTACAATTTTATTTTCAAATTATATCAAAAACACCCTCGGTCACTATACACCCTCGCCGGAAACAGCCCGATCTGGGCTGTTTCCGACGACGACGAACCCCCTGGTCACCTCTATCAACTTCCCCGTAGTCCGTCGTTCAAAACCCCTCTGGTTCCCGACTCATTTGCCCCTCCGATCGCCGGCACCATTAGGCTTAGGGTTTCGATGTTCTTCACCGGATTCCGGTCGATTCCGGCAATGAAAATCCAATTGGACACCACCAATGCAACCACCGTCCCAAAATCTATAAAACCCCTATGTCCCCAGCAACCGTTTCGTCGTCATTCGTCGGCCGAGAGTTCATGTTCATCGGTCGTTTTTCGTTGTCGTGGCCAGAGATCGGCGAGTGATGAGGGGTTGTGAATGGTATGGTTTTGTAGAGGGGAGGATGGAGGTTCAAATGGTGGTGACAAGGGTGATTTTGGGTGGAAGAATTGCCGGAAAAGAGCGAAAAACGTCGGGGAACGACGGCTGTTAACGTGCGCCGGAGGACTGTTAGAGGCGGTGGTCTGCTAACGTGCGCCTCTCATGTAAAATGACCAATTTACCTCTTTACCGTTATATCAAACGTTTTTCCGTCACTTTAAGGGTGGGAATCTTGAATAAATGGAATCAATAGGACTAACTTGGGATTTCGTCAAACCTTGGGTGGGAACATGTCGTTTACTCAAAATTAAAAATAAGTTCCATAAAATTAAGAATATCAAAAGTTTTCAAAAAAATTTAACTTAGCTTGAAAATTCAATAAAATTATTTAAGACATAAGAAAATTGAAAGCAATTTAAAAAACCAAAAAAGATAAATTTGAGAAATTTTTTTAACTTGGAGATTTCTGGTTAATTTTTCTAAAATTTATTATGCGTTTTTGCTCTTTTAATTAAAAAGCTTATTTTTAAGGGTGATATTGTTACTTAGTGGTCAAAATTGGTCAAATGTTAGTTTTGACGGAAAAAATAACGGCAGGAGAGGTGGTTAGATAATTCGGATGCCACAAGGAGAAGATTTATTATCGGATAACTCAGGGGTACTAAATGGATGTAGTCCAAATTGAGTATTGTATTTGCATTGTTGGGTTTGGCATGAGATTGGCCCAAATTCAATTTCTTTGAATGAGCCCAAATTACATTGGTATAGATGAATGTTTGATCAAAACACAAACTCACTTCACTGGATAACGTATATAAACGAGAGGCCAAAAATGACAACTTAATTACAAAAACCAACGAAATTAACTTCCAATATTTTCACAACCACCATGGTTGTGACATCCTTAAGCTTAACGAGTCTATCTTCTTGCAATCAAATTTCATCTTCGCTTCATGTTTTCCGCCCCATTCAAACCAACCCCACGTCGAGTAAAGTTGCGAATTCCTCCTCTTATGGGGCCTTATCTATAAAAGCCTACCACGAGAACCAGAACTCTATCTCTGGTTTTGTAAACAAAGTCATTGGTTCACTGCCGCTTATTGGCCTTGTAGCTAGAATTCTCAGTGATGAAGGTGGTGTTGGTAGTGATACTATTGATTTTGCTGAGTTTCGAAGAAGGGTTGGGAATAAATGTGGCATCAATGATTCTAAAGCTTTCTATGACTTCCAAGAACGGCGTGGACGGGTACTTGTGCTTTAAGTTTTCTTTCTTTTTCTTTTTCTTTTTGGTTATATATGTTTGATAGTTTTTTATTTTTTTATTTCTGGTTAATTGGTTGTAAATTGAGTAAAATGGATTATGAAATTAAGTTATCGAGTTGGGTCTTGGTTTTGGGTAGGCAGGAGATCCTTTGTATGTTTTGATGTGCTGCTGGGTAGCTGCTGTTGGTGCCGGTCTACTCAAATCTGAGGACATTTTAGAGGGGGCGGCAAGGCTTCGTATTTCGAATGATCTCGAATTTGAAGAGCAGAACTTCATTGCCTTGATGAATGAGGCCAAAGAGGTTGGTTAATCTCTTATATCCTACTTAATATCCATTGTTGGTCAAACATTTTTAATTCCTGTGGTCAAAGACTATAGGCTTGAATTGAGTTTATTTGGAAGAAATTTGTTGGATGAGATACCCAGTTTTGATCTTCTTTCAGTTAGGAATACTGAGCACTAGTTTTAGTTCAAAAGCCACTTGCTGGCACTCCAGCAAGTAATGTACATTAATACTTGGTTAGTTCAAAAACTCATTTGTATACTCACTGTGCTCATGTCTGGTGGGAGAGATTCAAAGTGATAGGCTTTGTCTGGTGTTAATTTGGATTAAGAAAGTTGCGTCTCGAAACTCCAAATTTTGTTGTGTTGATGTGAAAAAAGATTTAGTATTTCTTATGACTTTCTATCACTACCCAAACCAATCAAATTGTTATTCTTTCTTTTTGGTTGGCTGCATTCCTGTAGATAGCATGAGATGGATGTCCGAGTTTCACTAAACTCATTACAATGAATCATGGAAAGGACAATTTTTGTCTGCATATCATCATGATTCTTTTATTTCTGTATATCACTGCGAGTGTACACAGGGCGGAAGGGTGCACAAGTTTTTTAACACTGACTATTCAGAATAAGTAGATTGGAGAAACAAGACAGCTGAGGTGGAGGACTAGTAGCTAGTTTTGGCTAGGGGATGAAATACAGCTAGTCGTAGCTGTTGGATGTTAAAAACTTATTCTGTCTGTATATTGTTTGGATACATATTCCGTCCAGAGAACGAACACCTTTTCTCTATCTTATGTTCTACTGATGTTAAAAGAGGTAACAGTATAACTACTGCTATATGATTAACATATCTTTAACCATGTTTTGGGGTACTAGCAGCTTTATCTAGTAAAGGTGTCTCCCAGCTATATAGGAAGTCTTGTTCTTGTAACCAAATCTTTCTCACACTGTCGTCGGGATACTTAACCATTCTGTCTATGCTATTTTATTTTTCATTCTCACAAGCTACTTAATTGAAAGATCACCTTTTGAAAGCTAAATATGGAGATTATTCAGTTTCACAGATATAGCTGCTTCAGATTGAAAACGTAGTAGCCCTACTGGATAGCCTATTGGTTGGGGGGTATCTTAAAGCCAGTATTTGACTATAAAAATATTAGTTTGTAGCATCTCTTCATATTATTTCATAAAGCCTAGATCTGAAATGCAAACTTGTAGAAATGTTTCATAAAAGGCTGTCATTAAAAAAATTGTATCATGAAGCTTTTGTTTTATTTTGATCCATGTTATAGTCTCAATACTAATTGGTACCTAGAAGACTTTCTAGATTTAAACTAAATGTTATAGGTTTCAGCATCTCAGCATTAACTGTCAATATCTTACTAGTTAAAAGTATGACAATGTCTACGCATAATGATCTAAATTCTGATTTAAATGCTGTACAGCGACGAGCTAAATTAAATGCTGCTACCCCAAGTGTCCCAATGGAGGTTCGCGCTGAGAAGGCTCTTGAAGCGGTATATGTTTGTTGCTTCGGGAAGAAAGGCATAGAAGAGGAGGACGAGAGACTTCTAATTATTATGCTTAGTGCTGTTTTCCCATCAGTTAAGCAGGCGGAGATAGAGAGAATTGTGAAAGACAAGGCAAGGAAGGTAGCCGAAGGCAGCGATGAGAACAGTTTCCCAGAGCCGACACCTATACCAGAAGAAGCTGTAAAACTTCAAATGAAGGACCTTCAATTTCTTCAACAAAATAGAGACACTTGAATCAAGTACTAATCATAACATTTGAATAGTTTTTGGTGTTAGTAAAAAGAAAGAACGAAGCATTGCCTACTGAAGACGTTTTCTTTTTTACTTTTCTTTTATTTCTTTAAATTTTACTTTAAAGAAATTAATAAGCAGGCTGAAAATTAAATTGTTGAGATATTAGTATTGCTCTTCGGTGCAACGCTTTTGTAACGTCTTATTTTTTTATTTTTTTTAGAAAAGAAAAAAAAGTAAATAATTTGTAACAAATTACCCTAATATCTTCACTTGTCTATATCACATTATTCATATTTTCAAAAATTAGGACGGAACTAGAGGTAGAAAAAAATGGATCAGGTTAGGCGCTAAACCCGGGCTTGGCTCGAGTATCCCCCGCCGAGTGGGTTGGGCTTGGGTATCCCCCGTCGAGTGGGTTAGGCCTACATAGGCAAGCTTGACAGGTGGTTTTTTTTTCTTAAAAAAAAAACCGTCGGGCCCAACGGGTTGGCCCACGGGCTGTCAACCGCCAACCCAACGGGTTGACAAAAAAAATTAAAAAGAATATGTATATTTTCTTTCGTCAAAAACCAATTTTACCCTTTAGTATAACCGTTTTATAGCTGTTGTAGATGTCTTTTTTATCATTTTCTTTCTCATTATTCTCTATAAATAAGGCATAACCTTCTCATATTTCCTCACATCCAAAATTCTCTTATTTTCTTCAATTGCTTTATTTGCTCTTGCTCTAAAAATCTCTCAAATCTCAGTTGTCAATTTGCTCTCATTTTAATTTTTATTACTTTTTACAATTTTCAATTCATATTTCAAAATTCCAATTCTCCTTCTTTAATTCTTTTATATCCATTTTTTTTTTTTTTCTGTAACTAGAATGAAGATATTTCCATAATCCCACCAT